AGTAGCCGGCACTGGGCCCTGTCTCTGCAGATACTCAAAGCGTCTACTTAGAGATTGGAGCTTGACTGTGTTTCAAGACAAGATTAGCTCAGGGCCCCAGTTCCCATACTCAGTACTCAATGATACTGTGTGGCCTCTTGATCAAGTCACCCCACTTCCAGTCAACAGAGGAAGGCCACGGGCAGTGGTGGGTAGCCTGAGGAGAGTTTGACACACCCGATGACCAAGGTGCTGTGGGAATGGCTACTCTTCTACTCCTTTCCCCACCTCCAGGAACAACAGAACACTTTGTGCTCTCATCATTCACCTTGCCAGAGAGTGGATGCCAACTCAGCAGAAACACCCCTATGAGTTTCCGAGACTATCACTTTATGGGAGTAGAAAGTCCTGTCATCTTTTCTCTCTCTTGAGGTGTAGTGGGTGGTTTCGAACTGCTGACCTTGCGGATCTCGGCCCAACCCATAACCATTACATCACCGCCACCAGAGCACCTAGAATGTGTGCTAGAAGGTGAGAAGACGATCTATGGGTCCCAGTGGACCACAGGCGAACGTTGAGTCAGCTCTAAGATTGCAGACCCTGTGGGCTGGAGGAAGCATGGCATGAGGGCCGTCTCTTCATCTTTGAAAGTGAGCCCTGCCCAAGACCTTGGCCTGGCGCTGCTCTCATCAGACACTGGAAAGAGAAGATCCTAGTTCAGGACATGGGGATGCACCAGACACCCTCCATTTACCATACACCGGGCCCTGGACCTGGACTATTTCTGGTCAGTTCTTCACAATTAGGTCAAAGGGGTGGCTTCAAAAATCTTGTAGGTGAAGGCTACGGATGCAGTGAAAGCACCCAGTCCGTCTGTAGAGTCCCCACGGGGATGAGGCCTCCTCTGTACTCCCATGGGCCATCCACCAGGGACGGGAACTGGCTAGCCCTCAGACGGAGCGCATGGATGCAGAGGTAGTTAGGCTAAGTTTTCATATCTGATGAAGTGCTTTTCCTTTTAACCCATTTTAAATGTGTTCTAGTGTTTATTATTTTCTACTTTCTTTTGGATTGAGGTTTTACTGGGTTTTATTTGGTTATTGTTGTTGGGTGTTTTTTTTCTTTTTGTATGATTTTCTTTATTTGAAATCCAGGATGAGTAAATCTGGAGATACAGTAAGTACGTTAATAGTTTAAGGTTCTGGCAGGGGGAGTTGCGGGGAGATAGCTAGCTAATAACAAGGAGGACAAGGAGGAAGAAAAGTTCTTAAATCGATTATGGTGATGACTACACAACTCTTCAATAGACTCAGGCCATTGAATTGTATGGTATGTGAATTATAGGTCAATAAAATGTATGTTTAAAAATTGGCAAGAAGATTCCATTCTCTTTTAACTCCATTTTTCCATGAACTCTTCGAAGACCCATGGACTACTTACTATCCCCTTACAGATGAGGAGACTGCGGTTGAGGGGGGACGGCTGGCTCCAGGTTCCCTGGCACCAGGTCAGGGTCTGAGCCCTCCTCACACTGAGGCTGGCTCCCTGCCACTCGGATTCCAAGGGCCAAAGTGCCCTCAGTGCCATGGAAGTGGGTGGCACCCGCTCACCTCAGGCTGACTCTGGGCTCAGTTCTGAGAGGGATGAAGTGTGGCCCCTCGTTCTTCACATTTGCTGATAGATTGCTGGATGATGAGTTATTTCCCAATCTTGGGCACTGGGTCCCTTAATGAGAAGGAATGAGTGAGGGAACGTGACGTGTCCCCCTTAGTGGCTGACACCTGGCCACTTGCTCTGTACTGAGCGCTGGGCAGAGCCTTCCATGGGCTCACTCCCACCACCCCTCTGATGTCCTGAGATCTCTCAATCTACACTCAGTGCCTTCTAGGCAAGTCCCATTCATAGTGCCTGCTGGTTTCGAACTGCTGACCTTTCAGTTCGCAACCCAAACGTGTGACCATGATGCTACCAGGGCTCCTTTAGCAGCCCCCTTTTACAGCCCACCGTGTTGGAGGTTGACTCGCCACCTGGAACCAGCAGGGCCAGTGGCGGCCAGCTCCCTTCCGGCAGGGTATAGCACTGCCCCTGGTTTCTGGGTCACACCAGCCTACACCCTGAGCCTTTGTGCCAAGGCCACAGCTGAGTAGGACAGAGGCAGGCCTCCCAGACACCCCCACCCCCCACCCCATGATGGGCACATGAGACAGAGCACTTAGCACTTGAAGGGGCCCTGCCCAGCCCTGCCCTGCTCCGGGCTGTAAAGGGTTACAGTGATCTTCATAAAGCCAATAAAAGAGCTGTGCTTTGTGTGCGCCTGCCAAGTGCTGGGCGCTGTTCCGGGCACTGGTGTCAATGACTTCTTCACAGCTCGGCTGCGAGGCGGCCACTTCATTAGCATTGCTGCCCCATTTCCTAGATGAGGAAACTGAGGCTCGGGAACCTGCCCGGTTCTGCAGGGCTGCGAGACATCAGAGCTGCCCCTCCCTCCAGGCTCAGCTGTCCCCATGTGCTCCTAAGTAGTCCGGCTAGCCTGCAGATGGGATGGACAGGCCAGCGCTGGTGCTCTCGCTGGCAGCCTGGCTGTCCCTGCAGGCTCAGAGCAGGTGAGTGCGGCCTCAGGAGGGCAGCAGCCCCAGCTTCCTCACTGGGAGGCCCCTGTGTTTAGGACCCCAAGTCCTATATAGAGATGTTTTTGGAAGTAAACAAGCCAGAACCTACAGGGCTGGAGGCTACCACGGCAACAGCCCCACTGGGCTTGGTCCTGAGGCGAGGCTGCAGAAGGGCCCCTTCAAAGCAGTATTGTGCTGGGTGGTCGAGGGTCTGTCTGGAGGCGTGAAAACAAAGATGATGATTCTCAACAAAGTGCCCCCGTGACTCCATGCCTCCTCCCCATACACCAGCCTGCCACCTATCTGTCCCCACGCAACACGGGAAGAGATGACACCCATTTCCCTGCCTCAGGACCCCTCTCAGAGGCCCCTGGTGTCTTCCCCACCCCCCTCTCCATATCCTCAGCCTGCCTGTCCCGTGTGGTGCCCACAACTCTGCACCCCACCCGGCTGCCATCCCTCACTAGGCACGCTCCCCACAGGCCTCTCCCAGGCTCCCCTCTGTCCTCCCAGAGCTCCCTGGATGTGGGCTCTGGGTGCTTCAGGGGCGCCACCGCCCATCACCTCCCTCCTCTTCCTCACCCTCTCCCTTGTTCCTTTACATGACCTGTGGGCACCTTCTGCAAGCTGGGCCGGCCCCCTTAGGCTAAGTTGGAGGCTGAGGCTTGGCATCACAAGCCAAGTGTCGGGGGAAGCCTGAGTTGGGGAACCCCCACACAGTACACAGCAGAGGCCCACAGAGAGGTGGCTTTCCCCCAGGACCTTAGCTTTGCCTGCCGGGAGAGGGGCTGCCAGGAGGCTGGCCCTTCCTTCTCCAGCTGCCATGGGGTTGACAATCTCCGAGCAAGCTCCAGGTGGGTCTTCCCTGGTTACCTGGGCACTGGCTGAGAAGGTCCTCCCAAGTGGAAGCACCACTGTCCCCTCTGCTCCCCTTTCTCAGAAGCCAACCCCCGAGGCCATGTGTCCTTCCAATTGAACCACAGCAGCCTGTCATCCAGCCCAGCCCGCTTCCTCCAGCCAACTGCGACCAAGTTCAGCACCAGCACTCATCACATCGGCCACTTTGGCGCTTGCCGAGCCCCTGGGAGGAGCCCTGGGGCAAAGGTGGCCGGTTCGAAGGCCCCTGTCGCTCCTCAGGAGAAGGGCACTGCAGTTTCCTCTCATAGAGAAACCCTTTAGGGCAGTTCTCTGTTCACCTTGATGGCAATGGGTTTGACTGGTTGGGCGTGGTGTGCACTTCGGCCGTCCTCGGAGCAGCCCCGGGAGGTGGTTGGTTTTGACCTTGCTCGTTGGATATGGAAGGAAAGTGAGGCACCAGAAGCTGGGGTGACTTAGACAAGGAGGCAGCGGTGTCCAAATTCAAACCCTGGGTGTTTGTCTGACTCCAAGTGCGCAGGCCTCACCGCCTGCTTGACACCATTCTCCGTCCTCCTGCTCCTCCTCCTCCCAGAAGCCCTCGCAACCTAGGGGGAGTGTTCTCCCTCCGACCGCCAAACCCTGTCGCCTTCCAGCTACCCAGCTCCACCCGTGGTGGACCTGGGAGCTTGGCTGCCTGGGTTCAAATCCAGCTCTGCCACTTCCTAGCTACTGATCTCAGGCACCTTATTTAACCCCTGCGTGCCTCGGTTTCTTCATTTGTAAAACGGAGCCCCTGGCCACCTCGACACCCAAACAGAAGAAATCCTCCCCCTTGTCACAAAGGGCTGCATAGACCTATTTCCATTTCTCCAGTGACTGTAAGCTCCCTGAGGGCAGAGTGAGCATTGCCCCCACCCCCACCCACACAGCATGTACACCCCACAGGAGCCAGGCTCTGATAGGTCCTGCATGACTCCCAAGGGAAGGAGTGAATCTGGATTGGGATGAACATTTCCCTGCCCCAAATCTGTGACCTTGGGTCTTTCCAGACCAAATGAAGTAAAACAAGATCATACTCGATTCGGCCAAAGCCCAAACCCACTACCTCCCAAGTCCATTCTAGCTTGTCGCAGTCCCGTAGGATTAGGGTTTCCCAGGCTGGAAGCCTTTAAGGAAGCGGGCGGCCCTGTCTTTCTCCCTCGGAGCGGCTGGTGGGTTTGAATGGTCAATCTTTGGGGTCTGCCAAAAACACCGTGCCGCCAGGACGCCAATAGTGGATTGGGGGGTGGGGATGGGGGTGGCTAAATCCCATGACAGATGTCCTTTAAAAAAGGCCATTGAAGACGCAGAGAGACCCTGCGGGCAGATGTAGGTTGGAAGTCAAGGGGTGCAGCTACAAGCCAAGGGATGCCCGGCCTTGTTGGCAGCCAGAGGCGGGTTCTTGCCTAGAACGTGCAGAGGGACTCTGTGGAGCGCATCCGCTTGGACTGCCAGCCACCAGAACTGTGGGCATGAACCGCCGGTGTTCAGTTGTTGCGGCAACCTCAGGAACTCTTCCTCCGCCCAAGAGCCATTCTGATGCCCCCTCACCAGCGTCCCCAGGCCTCCGGAGGTCCTGCCCCCACACAGGACAAGACTCCTGGGTTCCGCCGAGGAAGTGCCTTTGCCGAGGATCTAGGACGAAGATGGCCCAGCTCCCAAGGGAGGTAGGACCTGGTAGGCACGGGCAGCTGGTGAGGGGGAGGGAGAGGGCACTGCCAGGCCTTCTCAGCTGGGCCAGGAGTTATTTATACCCAGTTCCTAGCCCTGTCCCGCCCAAGGACCCCACCACCATCCATCTCCTAAGGACTGCTGGCCTCCACCCCAGCCGCCCACCACCAGCTGGGCTAGGACAGACACAGTGGACAGCGGCAGGTGGCAGCCAGC